ATCTGTTCTCCCTTATAGGTTACTCTTTGTTTCTCCCTTGCTGCTTTCAGGATTCTCTCCTTATCCTTAGTTCTGGCAAATTTATCTATGATATGTAACCCCTGACTTCTAAGACCCCAGCCACTCCCTCTCACTCTAAGATACAGTTGTGTTGGCTTCTCTTTATATGTAATTTGTCTTTTAAAGGATGACAGCTTTTAAATTTCAATTACATAACTCTTTTGAAACACTTCTACTCTGGATTTTGTGTGTGTCTGTGTTCCCTAAATGCTCTACACTTACTTTCATGTTTGTTCTTAACACTTTGGATAATAATCCATTAGTTATGTTGTGTGTTAGACTGAGCTAGAAAAAGATTCTGTATCTCAATATTTCAGCATATAGCCTTGTTCCCTGTTAGATGAATGGATGTTTGATTGGAGTTAAAAATATCACAGTGCAGCCACACTGAAAATCCATATTTGAGGAGCTGTATAATGACCTTATTTTTCCATTATTTTAAATAAACTGTATAAATGTTTTCAATTCCTTGTTACTTTGGAGAGTCTTAAAGACCATCAAGGGACTTACATCTCAAAAGTGAGTGGCTACTTTATTAAAATACTTCTGAAGAGGTGAATTTAATAATTCAGGATCTTGTCCCTTCTTTGTTCTTATGTGAAAGAAAATACTTTGGTTATGCTCTTCTCAAAGGACTGTCTCCTTCTCAACATGCCCGAAGTATATGAGATGAAGCCTCACAGTCTTTGCTTTTAAGGCTCGCACTTGCTATACTTCTTTCAAGATTTGTTTGTTATTTTAGTAGTCCATGGTATATTTAATATTCTTCAACACTAAATTTCAGGGACATCAGTTCTTTGACCTTCTTTACTCATTATGTAGTTTTCATATGCAAAAGCATATGATAATGTGGATCACAGAAAATTATGTATAACATTGAGAAGAATGAGAATTCCGGAACACTTATTTGTGCTAATATGGAACCTGTAAGAGGATCAAGAAGCAGTCATTCAGACAGAATGAAGGAGTGCTGGATAGTTTAAAATCAAGAAAGGAATGGGTCAGAGTTATACGCTTTCACCATACCTAGTCAGTCTGTATGCTGAGCCTATATGAACTATATGAAAAATGTTATATCAGGATTGGAGGAAGAATCATTAACAGCCTACATTATGGAGATGACACACCTGACTTGCTGAAAACGAAGGGGACATGAAGTACTTACTACAAAAGGTCAAACACTGTAGCCTTCAGTACAGATTACACATTAACATAAAAAAGACAACCCCACACCAAAAACCACTTCTCACAACTGAACCAATTAACATCACGATAAGTGGAAAACAATTGAAGCTGCCATGGATTTCCTTTTCTTGCATTCATGGTCAATACCTATGGAGACAGCATTCAGAAAATCAAATGATATATTGCAGTGGGCATATCTACTGCCAAGGATATTCTGAATGTCTCTGGTATGGTCAGTTTATTTGTGAACTTTTTATTGAATAGCTTTAAGATAATCTTAATACACCTAAAATTTTTTTAAATTTTATTTTAATAATTTTAGTGAACATTTACAGAGATTTTGGATTTGCATTCATTCATTGTTGCATTTTATACCTAAAAATCTTAATCTGATTTCTTTGCATTTTATTTGTCTAACCCAAATCGTGAAACTTGGCAGCTGTCCCTGACATCTTCTTTTTCATTCTCTTATGCCCTTTTATCATCAAGTCTGCCCACTTTGAGTATATTTTAAATCCAGCTATTTTTGTCCATCAACGGTTTCCATTGCTGACCGAGAAATCATCCTGTCTTGCTTGTATTACTGTGGTAACTTGTGTTCAGGTACCTCTGTCATCTCTGTTATAGTTTGTTCTTCACCAAACAGCAAAAAATGATCTTTTTTTATTTCAAATGCTTCATTTATTTCTGGAGCAAGCAAGAAAGGCTAGGAGGGAGATGATGTGACTATAAACAGATAACTCAAGGATCCTTATAGGGGTTAAACTGTTCTGTATCTTATGTCCATGTTAGTGTCTTAGTTCATATTGTGCTGTAGTTTTGGATGATTTCTCTGTTGGGAGAAACTGGTTGGCAGTTTCTTTATATTTCAATTCTAGACCACCACACAAACTTGATTATTGCAGAAAGATGAATCACATGAAATATTTTTTATATTTCCATTGTACTATAGTCTCAAAATACAAATCAACTTTATGGAAGGATTTGAAGTATTGGAAGCATTACCGAAATGGAGTTAGCATATGCTGTTAGAAAAATAGCACTCATAGATCTGCTTGCTAAAAGATTACCACAGATTTCATATTTGTAAAAAATGCAATAGCACACTAAACAAGAGCTCAATAAACAAGGTGTGTTTTTGTCTGGTCTTATATACCACTCATGCATATGCATATTCATTCTCAGAATATTATTTTTGTGAAAATCGAGTCTAGGGTGTCCATTCTGTACTATGAGCTATTAGTACAAAGGAGAGGAGATAGTCTGCATTAAACAAGCTTAGTGTAGTAGTGTTTCTTGACAGAAGTGTGCATTAAAACAATTTAAGAGGTTTAAAAAACATAACTGCCTCATTGCACTTCTGCATGTCTAGTATAAGGCACACATACCTGCGTAAAGCACAAGCCTTCAGATTAGATAGGGAGAAAAGTCAAACTTAAGATTCTGATTCTCGGAAGGCAGGGCCCAGAAACCTGCAATTTCAACAAGCTTTTCCATTGGTCTTTAATATTCTGTTAAAAGCCACCACTGGTCTGGTGGGTGGTAATAACTCTTCATCTTGTTTTGATGGCAACAATTATTTCCTACTTTTTTTGCTTAAAAATGCATGTTTGTTTGTTTTTACAGGAGCAGAATTACCAGGACAAGTTATTTCCAGGGCAGCTTCCACTCTTGCTACGCTGGCCATCTCCATCACAGGATATGAATCAGGCAGTGAAGACCAGCCCTCAACTCAGCCTCCAGGTGACTGACATTATGAAGGAATGCAATTGAAATTGAATATCATCTTAAAATCACATTAACATCACAAAACATAAACTCACTCTTACTGGTCCATTATCTTTTCTCTTTGATTTCTCTTTTTACATCTCTTTTGTCTTTATCTACTTTTTCATGCCTGGAATTATTTTACCTTCTTATCTTGGTTCTTCCTGTCTCCATTCATTTGTTTCTAAAAGCTTTTTTGTTTTTATTTGTTATTTTTTTTTTCCATTATAACAGCCATCTTGTTATTTTGTTCTTTCTTGCTTTCCCTTCCTATTACTTTCCTTTGTTAGTGTCTTATTTAACTTTTTCTAATTCCTTTCTTTCCCTACCCTGGTATTATTTTTTGTCTTAGTATTTTATTTTTCATCTCTTTCATTTGCTGTTCAGTTCTCCATTGCTTTAATTTAATTTTTTTTTAAATTAATTAATTTATTTATTTTTCATTTCAATGAACATCTACAGAGATTTTGGAATTCCGTTCATTCTAATTTAATTATTCATGTTGGGTTCCGCCATCCTTCCTTTTTTTAAGCTCTGACTTTTAATTTTTTCCCCTTAGTCGTACAAATTTTGTTTTATAACATTTTCTCCAGCTCCCCCTTCCCCTCCCCCTCCCTGTTTGATCAGTTACTATATCTTGTTGGTTGGTTGTAATGCACATTTGTTTATCTTCCCTTTCCCTAATCCGTTACAGTGACCATTGTCCTTTCTATTCCTGTACTCCCACCTCTTCTTTTTTGCTTCATCTTTCAGTCATCTATTTATCTGACAGTCTTTGCTTTTCCTCTAAAATTTTTTTATTTGTATGCCCCTTTTGCATTTGTTCTATTTCCCCTAAAATAGATTTTATTGGTTTTTTTCTTGATTTTGTGAAGCCAGCCCACAGAGATGTTTCAGCTTCCCTTGATATACCGTCTGGTAGATTTATACCAGCTTTGGAGCTACACCATACTTTTACAGAGCTCAGGAAGATTAAAGGCCATCTTCCCTGTGCTGAGAGATCTGATAGTATCTGAGGTATTTAGAGCCAAGAATTATGATGCACTCTTCTTGAAGAGCTAACATTAGAGAAGTCTTGAAGAAAGCATCAGCTCATCAGATAGCCTTTGGGATAGTTGTTCTTGTTAAGGCCCATTTGTCAACTCTACCTCTGACTCATAGCAATCCCGTGTATAACCATAAATACAACAGGAGGAAACCTTTCCTAGTAAGAGCAGTTGGTTTCATTTTAGGTCAGATGATACAGAAAAGCCATGTTTGTGTCAGAAAAATACATACACAATTACTATAAAGTTCTTTATAAAAGAAGAATTTTTTTTTAAAAGAAGAATTTTTTAATGAATTCTTTTATGTGTTAATATTGTTTATATGGCTTGAGTAAATTTTATGCATTAATTATAAGCTATTTTGTTATATATTTCTTGTCTCCCATTTCTTAATTGCTCTGTGTTACTCTATAGTAAGGTGAATGAATAGAGCATGTGACATTTTTTTACCCCATCTTCAGAAACCACGGATAGGAAGGAACCCCCTCCGCCGTTGTCTTCATCTTCTTCAGCTTCCACCCCTTCACCCACTCTGGGCAGACCAAGACCTGAAATGACAACTTTTCTTAGAAAGAAGAAAACTAGTGATATCTACTTTGTGTTTCTGGTTTGGGCCTTCATTGCTGTCCAGATCTGGCTGAACCTGTGGATTATACAGTTATTGCCGGTGCCTGTTGCAGGTCATTATCTGATTAATTTTCTTTGAGAACTATTTATATTTTTTAATTTATTTGATTTTAGTATTTATTGATAGTTTTGCTATTCTAAATGTAATAATCTTTTGTTTATATTTAAATAATAAACATTATTTTGGAAATGTATCGCTTTGGTAATTCTGGCAGGTTTTAATAGGCTGTAAATTGCGTGGGAGGAGATTTCTTATCTTTTTCCCACAGAGGAGCTGGTGGATTTGAACTGCCTGTCTTTTGGGTTGACAGTGTAACTCCTTTACCACTAGGCCACCAGAGCCTTTTATAGTAAAAATGTGTATATGAAACTTGTACATGAACTTGATAGCTCCACTTAGTTACTCGTTGGGCTTTATATGATGCTGTGGAAGAGAAAGCTAACAACAATCTAGAGTGGAAGGTGTATAATTAAAATTTGAAAAAAAAAATTGAGAGCCACTCTGAGTAAAGTAAAATACTTTTACAGTATATTTTTCTTTTTTACAGTATATTTTCTTTTTCTATAGTGACAAAATACATCTAGCATTAAATTTGCTACTTTAATAACCATTTTTAAGTGTATGTGGTTCAGTGGCATGAATTGTGTTCATAGTGTTACACAACCATTGTTATTGTTTTTATGTGCCATCAAGGAGACTATGACTCATAGTGACCCTTTGAACAGTAGCTTATGCACAATGTTCTGCTGCTAACGGAAAGATTGGTTGTTCAAGTCCACCAGACTCTAAACAGCTTCCTGCTGTCAAGACTTGAAGCCTCAGAAACTCGATGGCAGATCACTGAGTTGAAATGGTGGGTGTAAGGTTAGTGGGGTTGTTTTGTTTGTTTTCCGTTTAAAATTGACAAATCTGTATTTTGTTTATATATTTTGTCTTTATAGTCTGGGTACTCAAAAAGCTTATTATTCACTTTGGGGTTGTGAACTTCCTGGAGAAACGCTGCTACGTGTGGTGGCAGGTTGTGGAGCACTTCCTGAAGGAGCGGCAGGAAGCTCTAGCGCCTTGGCCAATTATTGGACTTGGAAAATTCTTGTTAAAAGTTGATAGCAAGGTATGCTATATTGAGAGCATGGGCTGTTGTACTGGGGATTATATGTTTTATGATTTAAAATACTCCACACTACATAGTGTTTGTAGTATAGTTTTTGGTAACATGTTTAGTATTTAATTCTGTAGGATTATTTTCTTTATTGTTTTGGTGATTCCTATAGTTAAATTTTACAGTTATTATTATAGCTTACATAAAAAGTAAGATAGATTTGGTTTAAATAAGTATTGAGTAAGATGTTTTCTTCTGCCTCTAAAAAATGACAGAAAGATTATTGCAGAACCTTAAACTCCCTCTTTCTATAAGGGCCAAGCTGAGCTACAGAGAGAATGAGTGACTTGACTAAAATCATATGACCAGGTAGTGTCAGGTGCTATGATAGATCCTAGAAAAAAATCAGCAATCAGAAAAAATCAGATGTAAATATTCACTGGCAGAAATTCAGTTTCTGTTTATTGGCGAGAGACAGCAGCAATTCAGTGAAATTCAGACGCATGGGGGAGATTCAGAAGTATAGTAGTTAAGAGCATGCATTTCTATTTCTTTTTTTTCTCTTTTTTTAAGTTTTATTTTAATAATTTTAATGAACATTTACAGAGATTGTGGATTTCCATTCATTCATTGCTGCACTTCTCTCCCTGCCCAGCCCTCTCTTTTTCTTTTTTTAAAAAATTTATTATTAATTTCAATGAAAATTTACAGACTTTGGATTTCCATTCATTCATTACTGCACTTTTCTCCCTGCCCAACCCTCCCCTCTAGTACACTACCCTCTTTGAAAAGTAAAAGAAAAATTCTTTCATTGTTTTACAAACCCTCCCCCAAGTTCACTCTACTATGCAACTTTCGCTCTGAACTCCTGTCAAGAGCATGCATTTCTTAATTCACAATCTGATTTCAGAGCTATTCTGCTTCCTAGCGTTGTGACCTTGGACAAGTTTCTTAACCTTTTGTGCCTCAGTTTCCTTAACGATATGTAAGGGAACAGCATCTACCTTCTGCCCTGGTTTTAAAGGTTAAATGAATTAATATGTATAAAATCTCTAGATATATGCCTGGTATATAGTAACTTCTACATAAATGATGCAGCTTTTTAAATATATGAAAATCAGAGTATAGTGGTTCAGTAGTGAAGAGTAGTAGGAAAGGAAAAAAGATGTTGGTAAAGTATATTCTAAAGCATGCGTAGTTTATTAGGCATGGAAAGAAGAACAGGTCGATAGAACAGTGCAGAGGGCATAGAGACGTGTACATTGTACATTGTTAAGGTATGCCAAGGAAGTGGGCTTGGTTGGAACACAGAATGGTGAATGATAGAAGGTAAAGCGAGAGAGACTGGATCAAGAGAGTCTGTGTGGCTGTGCTGAGCAGATTGGATTTAACACAAAGGCTAGGCACTATTTCCTTTAATGGATCCATCACAATTTGAAATTGAAAATATTGTTACCTGAAACCAATGTAGATTTGAATTGAAAAAATAACTGGATTAGGGTGAGAGGGAAGTAAATATTTACATATCCCAAATAAAAATATTGCTCGTTAAATGTAAATAACTATATTACATTTTCTTACATACTACCTGTCCTCTGAATGTTTATTAATTTTAATTCTACTAGTACAACATTAGTTTTAGTGCCCATTTTATTCAGCACTTAGCAATAAGGAATAATTTTTTTAATCCATTTTCATTTGAGTAAAAATTACTATCTCATGTTTGCTTTCCCCCTTCCCCACTAAAATGGGAGAAATGTGACAATTATTGTTATTTTAATTTCAAGTTTTGAAAAATGAAAATGATGTTAATTATCCTTTTATATGCTTCAGGGTGCATTTTGGTCAGGTGCATGCTTATATTCATTTTTGAACTTTCAAAATAAGAAAGAATGACTTTTCACAACTATCAGACTGTTTATCACATTACTGTGGTACTGATGAGAAGCTTTATTTTACTAGAGCTAATTGAGCATTTCAATTTTTTGCCTTACCAGTATAAAAAATTACATGCTAAAACCTAATTTCCTAAGTACACCACAAATACTTACACTTAGAATACTTCATTTAGAGAAACTTAACAATGTAATGTGTCAGTTTAAGTTCCGGAAGCATCAGAACATATTTGTTACAGAGACCAAAACCAAACCAAACTCATTGCCATTGAGAGGATACCAACATAGCAACCCAAAGAACATCGACAGATTTGAACTGTCAACCTTTCTGCTAGCGGCTAAGCACCTGGCAAGCAAACATTTGACTTTTTTTATATTAATTTAGGTGCTAATATGTTCTAAGGAAGAACAGAAAATGAATTAAACTGTATTCTGAGGTATAGCATAAAACAAACCAGAATAAATGGTAATCACAAACTATATATTTGTTTATAACTGATGCTAAAGCTTTGTTTGTTCTAGTACAACACTGTATTTGAACTGCTATTTTGGGAGGGAAAAAAATCTACATTGTTCTATCACATTTTAATTGATACATCACTGTTTCTGAAGTGATCACTGTGCAAGAAATTCTTTGAAGTGTTTGCCTAACCTGCATAGGATGTAGTTTAGGATAAATTCTGCAAGGAGCATTTATAATCATGCTGGAATTATACATGGATTACAGTTTTGGGAGTCTCTCTGTTTTTTGTGTTCCTTACTTTTAGGTTATATAATCATCAGAAAGAATATTATAGTATTAAATATGATGGGGTTCAGATGAGATAGTGTTTCTGTGAAGGAAAAGCAGTATATACTATAGAAAATATGTGCATAAAAGTCGAGATGGAACAAAATGGGCCAAATATATTAATAGAATGTTAAATGTATCTCATTTTTTTTACAAAGCACTTACTGTTCCGTGTAGACATGGAAATGTTTTTACCTTCTGAAAAAATATGAAATAACAGACTTTATGTTACAGCTACAAAGTTTAATGGAAATTTGGATTGTAAACTTGAATTAGTTTGTACAAGTAGTAAAATAAAATTGACCATAAGGGATTGTAAGAATTTTTTTTTCCTGCTCTGCAGAATTTATAGTGGTAATTTAAATCTATAAATATTAAAATTATTTAGCATATTTTAATTGTTACCTAACCAACAAAGTTTTTTGTTACCATCATTTTGATTAGTGTATATTTTAAAGGAAACTAAAGACTCCTGATTGTAAAACTTTGCAAATGCATTATAATTTTGGGAGTTTCTTTCTATTTTTTGTAGCTTCTCCTTTGCCTGGAATAATTTCTTCTCATACTGTCTGTGACTTTCTTTTCTTTTCATGCTGTTTTTTGCATCTCTAATGATGGTCCACTGTTCTTCTCTTTCTCACCTTATCTCCCATCTTCAAGCTCTGGCACTGGCTAAATAAGAAGGTAACTGAACACATAGACGTTGCTATTTACTATTGAATTCTGTAACTTTCCCCATTGGGTTTCGGTGTTCAAACTAAATTTGTTTTAAGTTCTAATTATAAGCTATGGAAGGTCGTAAAGCTTGACTATTACTACAGTACTGTTAACTATTTTATAAAAGTCTCAACAAAGGCTATCTAGGATAGTGTCCCTGGCCCAGGTGTTTGTAAGCAGTTTGTCTTTTTTGTCCACTGTGATCTCCATTTCTCTCTTGCTCTGTAATACTGCTCTTTGCTGTGTGATCGTGTATTAGACTTTTGTTACTGAGAGGAGAAAAAAGCTTGCTCTTGTTATTTTATTTAATGACATTTTCAGCGATTTAAGAAAAAAAAAAATCCGTGAAGTGTTTGTGTGATTCCCTTGGCTGCTAATTTTATATGTAGTTTCTTTTTAGAACTACTATTTTTTTTTTTCATTTCAATTTTGTAGTTTTTTAATATGATTTATGTATAAATTGTTTTACTAATTCCATTAGATCTCACATACTGAGATACAAGTTATATCTAATATTTTTAAAAGCTGATTATAAAATTCAGGTTTTTAATCTCTCAACTATAAATGTCTTATTTTCCTGTTTAATTGTTTAAGATTGGTAATTTGACAAACGCATTTCCTTTATCTCTTAGCCCCAACCCCAGAACCATCAATCTCTTCCACCTTCATCTGTCATCTGTTGTTTTATGCTGCTTTTGAGTCAACTTCAACTCATAGCGACTCTATGTACAGTGTATCTGAACCTTGCCTTGTCCTGCTCTCTGTATTCTAGAGTGTGCTAAACTGTCCTAATAAATTTATCTGCCTTCAGTCTTTTCTCTCATTAATCATTTTTTTAGCTCAAACTAGCTTTATTGGAGTGCATTTTGACTTGCAGCAACCCTGTAGAACAAGTAGAGCTGCCCCACAGTGTTTCTGAAACTGTAAATTTTTACAGTAGCAGACTGCCTCTATTCCCTGAAGAACATGGTGGGTTTGAATTGCTGACCTCTTTGTTAGCAGCCCAGCTCTTATAACACCATAGTTAGGGTGGTCTAAATTTGATCACTGTGCT